TTTAAAATTTCCGGAAACTTTTCGGTCACAATGTATTTTATTTACATTTATTATGTTATATTAGTCAGTTTAACTACAGCTTTGTGTGTTAATTTCTTGAGAACTTCTGAAGCGATGAGATCAAAGCCTGGTGATTTTTTGTTTTTTAATTCGCCTTATATATTTTTCACTTCTTGTGGTGTAACTTGGAGCGTTTGTTCTTTATTAGGCAAATCAGAGTTTTGATGCGTGGTTACATTATCAAATGGATTAGTATTATACGTTAAAAAATTTTTATTAGAGTTTTAGTGAACACGTTCGCTATCTCAGTTGCACCGGGAGGTTTAACTGGTAGGATATGCTGGATTGACCGTTTTACCGCTTTGTACATTTCCATAGCGAATATCCGGAACTCTAGTCTGTGCTCAGAATGGCATCGTACGAATTGATGGAGTCTTGTTTGAATTCTTTTAAATATCTCTTTAGATTTTGGCTTGCATTATTAAAATTACGTTTATCAGAGGGTGATCGGGTTTGGTGCCATTTTTTTTCTCAACCTACGTTTTTTTGCTATAAGTTACTGCAATTCACATGAATACTTTAAATCTACCAGCTTTCTTTTTCTCTAAGTAGTGCTTTGCCAAGCTACTTTCTGTATAGTTTTGGTGAATTTAAGCGCTTTGATTTCTATGTCTTCGGTAGTACAAATATTTACCTCAGACTCAATATGTTCGTCCAGTTTTATACAAAAAAAAAATCGGTGTTGTTGCTAGTGTTGTTGCTTCTTTTCTAATGATATCATCAGAAAAAGTTAAATAGACTGGAGAGTGGTCCGAGCTTAGATCTATTTCTTCTTCGATATGTAAGTACTTAGTTAAGATTTTGTTAATTAGGAAGAAATCTAGTAGGTGTGATGATTTGTTGCAATCAGTTGGCCAATATGTTGGTTTCATTGTTGCACTTCCACTCCTCGCATTATACAAAGGTTGCATTACATAAATTTGTTATTGCATAACAACCAATTATGGGTTCTTCACAGCTTAAAGCCATTGTGGCTTTTTTACCATAATTCTCTATCGCCATATATTCAAAGTACGATAGCTTTTAAGGAAAAAGATATGTCTTTTGGATTACATAGACGGGAATGATGGTAATAAAGAAATTACCATGATAATATTTTTGTTATACACTCATATATTTAATATCATATGAAATTTAAAAAAACACTGGTATCCACTTTGAACCCACTTAACTAACAAATATTATGGCAAAAATAATATTATTATAGGATTCTAGGATTCAGTGCCAAATTTATTACAGTATGGTGGAACGGCTTTTACAAATAAATGATATAGTAAAGAGTAGTAATAACTACAGCGACGCAAGTCATATTAGTACAAGCAAAAGAGATCAACTTTGTTGTTTTCATCTTTCGTTTTTTGTAATTAACAACTATATAAATGTACGGCTGACAAGCCGTAGGGATGAATTGAAATTTTTTAAGGTGGCAACTTTCAAATGATTAGTGACGTCAATTATATAGTTACAGCTGTGTTAATGAAGCTACGTTTTTATATTCAAAACAGATTCAAAGCAATTTAGTTTAATTTATATTTACTTTCTGACACAGAAAAAAACCGTGATAGCAAAGTTGTTTGGTAAATGCTTTCTAGAATGATCCGTTGAGACAAATGATAGGGAAATGGTTGCTGACCTTGAATGCGGTCATACAAACACCGATGATACCAAACACGTTGGTCATCTAAAAGAGGTGGTGATCACGGAAAACATCAAAAAACCTAAAGCGAAATTGAAGGAGATAGCTGAAGCTTTGGAGATTTTAAAGAAACATATCGGCTTCATTTTGCATGAATATTTGTCTATGAGAAAGTTGACTCCCAGCGATTGCTACCTACTCGCAGACCTCAAAAAAACGCTTCAACGAAAGAGATTTGGGTCATCACTGAAATTAAGTCATATTTTAATGGCAAAAAGGGATCATTCTACAAGAGAGGTGTCGAAATGTTAGGAATACGCTGATAAGATTTCGTTATTTTTGAAGGCGACTACGTTGAAGAGTATAGTCGTTATTAGTCGTATATAGTTCATAGTTATTTTATTGGTTATCCTACCTGTATATATCACCTTATATACATATATCACCTTATAAATATATATCACCTTATATATATATATCACCTTATATATATATATCACCTTATATATATATATATCACCTTATATATGTATATATCACCTTATATATATATATCACCTTATATATATATATCACCTTATATATATATCACCTTATATATATATATCACCTTATATATATATATCACCTTATATATATATCACCTTATATATATATATCACCTTATATATGTATATATCACCTTATATATATATATCACCTTATATATATATATCACCTTATATATATATCACCTTATATATATATATCACCTTATATATATATATCACCTTATATATATATATCACCTTATATATATATATATCACCTTATATATATATATCACCTTATATATATATCACCTTATGTATATATATCACCTTATATATATATCACCTTATATATATGTTATATATAACCTTATATATGTAAATAACCTTAAAAGATAACGTATATATTACCTTATCTGTTATGGTAAATATTTGCAAAACCATTGTTAGAACAATAATCATAAATACGGCAGTATCGCATCTATTGACACCAAACGAAATGTACGTTATAAATATACATAGTTGCAGATTTGGTGGATTAGATTAAATTTTAAACGGATTGGGAACTTGTTACCACGTCACTGCATCCTTTAAGAATTGTGACATATTCACTTCAGTAGTTAGTAGCAGTTAAAAACGCCATTAAGTCATTTGGAGAGATGTTGCCTAATTCCGTTATAAGTGGAAAAGTACCGAAGTCTGTGTCTGGCGAGACTATCACAGTGACACAGAATGTGTTCTGCTGTTTCCTCTTCTTTGCAACAACGCCTAGGTTTGATCGATGATTTTTAACTCCACAATGCCCACTAAAAAACCCTGTGACAAGTCGGATGCCATTTCTGTTCAGCATTAGAAGCTCCGTAGTTCTGGCTTTTGATCGATATGGCATGAATTCTTTAGATTGTCTGCAATATAATGGACAATTGCATTATCTCAATCAGTTTGAGCAGCTTTTTCCAGCCACTTATTAATTTTAGATTTGAAAAAGCTCCATGAAGGATTGCAGAATGGTTGTGTGGCCCTATACGAGAGCTGTTATATATATTTTTGGACTAGGCAACACTAAGTGTTACCAGGTGCAATCTGATGTTTCCATTGGAAAGGTTCACATTTTTTAGCATAATATCACTCAGAACGTGATGTTATTTAATTGTGAATCTGCTGTTGTGCCAGAGAACATTGATGTCGTGCGTGAACTGATAATGCAAAATCGTCATGTGACATACCGTGAGATAGAGGCATCCTTGGGCATTTCTCCCACCAGCATATATTCGATATTGCATGAACACCTGGCCGGAAAAAAGTTTTGTTCTCGTTGGATCCCGCACAATTTGACAATCGCTCAAAAAAAGGCTCGTATTGATTGGTGCAAAAAAAGGACGTTTATAAGATCGTCAAAGGTGACAGAATTATGGAAAGGGGTCTTCAAAGACGAGCAAGTGCTTCGTGGAAGAAGCACTTCGAATCAAATGGTCGCCTGTTTCTTCGGCAAAACTGGTCATGTGGCGACTGTTCCTCTTGAGCAACGAAGGACGGTTACTTCTGAGTGGTACACAACAATTTGTTTGCCTGAAGTTTTCGGAGAAACCCGAAAAGCGAATAAGGAAGACGAATCATTGTCCACCATGACAACGCGAGCTCTCACACATCGGCTCAAACCAGCGTCTTTTTGACCGGCCAAAACGTCGAATTGATCTGCCGTACAGCCCTGACTTGGCACCCAATGACTTCTTTTTATTCCCGCACATCAAGAAAAAAATGCGTGGTCAACGATTTTCGTTGCCAGAAGATGCGGTTGAAGCGTTCAAAAACCATGTTTTGGAGGTGTCTCAATCGGATGGAAAAGGTGCTTCGACAATTAATTTGAGCGCATGCAAAAGTGGAGAATACTTTGAAAAACAATAAAATAATTTTTGATGATAAATATTCGCAATTTCATTATTAGGCCAGAAATATATATAGCAGCCCTCGTATAATATGATGTTTTATATAATATGAGGCCCTTTTCTGGCTAGTTCGTCTGCTTTTTCGTTTCCCTCAAATCCGCTGTGCTTGGGATCCATATTAGGTGACCCTGTTTCTTTCAGCAAGGTCTTTGAGAAGTAGATGGCATTAACACACTAGTTTTGAGGTCACTCGAGGTGAGCAAAGTGCTATGACTACTGATTTACGGTCAGAGAAAATATATATGTTTTTTCCCGTGACGGATTTCCTTTTATATTCCCTTAGATGTAGTTCAATTGCGTGTACTTCGGCCAGAAAATTGTTATATATGAGACTTTTTTTCGTTGTGAAATTGATATTCAATACATATGAATTTACTCATATTAATCAACTTTTTATAATCTTCAACAAAATAAAAAATTTTAAATATTTAACTTTTATAAATTTTTTTATCTCGGAGGATTGACCCCTTTTTTAGGATTTTTAACAAAATGATGAGTTATTCACTATA